TGAATTTAAAAACAAAGTAATTAATCCCTGCATCCAGTGGTTAAGAGTAAATACCAAGAATGAAGCTGAATTCTTTGAATTCAGAAAAACTCCGCCTGGAGTAATCAGAACTCAAAAACAGAGGGTAGCTATTGAACAACAGGCAGCAGGAACAGATTAGTGATTAATAAAACTAAATTTTCTTCCTGCCACTTCAATAAACCAGAGAAATATAGGGACACGATTAGGGAGCTGAAGGAACTTCTGGGGGCAGTGACCATAATTTTTTTTCCTTATTCATTCATGGGATGAGGGTGTTGCTGGCTGGGCAGCATTTATTAACCATCCTTATTTGCCCAGAGGGCAGTTGAGTGTCAATCACATTGCTGAGAGTCTGGAGTCACATGTAGGCCAGACCAGGTAAGGATGGCAGTTTCCTTCCCTAAAGGGCATTATTGAACCTGTTGGGAAAAACCCATCTAACAACGAGGGATTCATGGTCATCATTAGACTCTTAATTCCAGATATTTAATTCAAATTCCACCATCTGCCATGGCGGGATTCAAACCCAGGTCCCCAGAACATTATCTGGGTCTCTGGATTAACAGTCCAGTGATAATACCACTAGGCCATTGCCTCCCCTTATGATAATTCACCCTGCAGTTAGAGGGGGAGAAGCTAAAATCAGATGCAACAGTATTATAATTGAGTAAGGAACAAAGACACAAGGATAGCAAGAAGTTTATGCCCCCCAGAGTGGGGGACTCAATTACTAGGGGTCACAATTTCAAGGTGGGGGTGGGGGAGGAGTATACAGGAGATGTGTGGAAAGTTCTTTATGCAGAGGGTGGTAGGTGCCTGGAATGCGTTGCCAGCGGTGGTGGTAGAGGCAGGCACGATAGCATCATTTAAGATGTATCTAGTCAGATACATGGGCAGGGAGCAGAGGGATACCGATCCTTGGAAATAGGCAACAGGTTTAGATAGAGGATCTGGATCAGCACAGGCTTGGAGGGCCGAAGGGCCTGTTCCTGTGCTGTAATTTTCTTTGTTCTTTGTAAGGAGCTGGTCAGATACAAAAGAAACACAAGGAGAGGCTAAGCAACTACAGCTGGCAATGCGAAGTCAGGGACAGCATAAGCGCTAAAAAGAAAGCACAATGTGGTGAAAATTAGGGGAAGCCAGAAGATTGGGAATACTTTAAAACCACAGGATAATAAAAAAGCCAATAGTGGGGGAAGGAAACATTGTAAGCTTGCTAGTAATAAGAGATTGCAATAGTGGACATGGGACCACTGGAAAGAGGCTGGAGCAGTAGTAATAGGGAACAAGTGGCAGAATGGTACTTCTGCCTCAGTCTTCAGTGGAAGACACCAGCAGCATATTGGAGCTTCAAGGAGTGTCAGGGGCCAGGGGTAAGTGTAGTGGCTATTACTGGAAATAGTCTGGGAAAGCTGAAAAAAGGTCCAAGAATGGATAAATCATCCAGACCAGATGATTATACCCCAAGCTTCTGAAGGAGACAGCTGAGGAGATAGAGATGACATTGACTCCAGGTGATTCCTGAAAGATCACTTCTAGGTGGTGTCCCAGAGGACTGGGAAGTGAATAATCTTAACACCCCAGTTTAAGAAATAGTGAGGCAGAAGACTGGAAACTATAGGCCAGTTAACCTCACCTCAGTTGTTAGTAACTTTTGAGAGTCCGTTAGTAATGAGATTATGATTAGGTGGAAGGAGAAGGTAAAAATAAGGATAAAAGTTTGCACAATTTCAAAAGGAGGTCATATCCAAAATCAGTTAGAATTCAGAGGTAAATGAGCAAATTAGACAAAAGGAGAGCCAGGGGACATTATCTATTTGAATTTCCAGAAGGCGTCTAACAAGGTGCTACACAGGAGGCTGTGAGATAAGCTAATAGCCCATGGTGTTAAGGGTAAGATAGTGGCAGAAAGCAGAGTGGGGATAAAGGGGTCTTTTTCAGGATGGCAGCCAGTGACTGGAGAGATTTATAGGAGTCCATGTTGGGACCATATCTACTCATACATCTGGGAGGAAGGAACTGCCAAGCAAGGGCACTGCAGAAGGACTTGGATAGGCTAGAAAAGTAGGTCAAGAGGAGGTTCACATGGATGATCCTGGGAAGGGCTTGAGTGGAGAGTGAGGGGGGGGGGTGGTGATGTTTCCGTTAGTAAGACATACCAAGACCCAAGGGCGCACACACTCAAAGGTGAATGGATGACCCTTTAGAACTGAAATAAGGAATTCCTTCAGCCAGAGGAGAGAGTGTGGTGAATCTGTGGAACTCTGACAGAAGGCTGTGGAGGCCAAGGTGTTTGAGTATACTTAGGACGGAGATAGACAGGTTCTTGATTCAGAAGGGGATCAAGGGTACAGAGTGAAGACAGGAGAATGGTTGATAAACACTTCAGCTGTGATTGAATGGCAGAACAGACTTGATGAGCAAAATGGCCTAATTTTGCTCCTTTACCTTATGGTCTTACAGAAGTGGGGAAAAAAAAAAAGACTGAATGTGGCCAAGGTAAAGAAACCACAGCTGGGAATGCCAAGAGATCATCTTAGACCAGAACAGAAAACGCTGCTGTTGAAGGATGGAAGGGAATTGCTGGCCTGAGTATTTCTATTATAAAGTGAGACAATTGTTCAAAAATGCTGGAGGTTGAGGGAAACAGGGAAGGTCTTGGACTTACTGGGAGTACATAACAATGAGTCCATAAAAGATGGCCCAAAACAATTGCATCTTTGACTACAAAATTATGAATCTGGAGGTAAAACAGTGTGGGAAAAGTGAATAAAAGGTAGGAGGAGTGAGAATGTCAAAAAGTAACCATTCTTCAAGTGGTACAACTGAAGGGATACAGGAGCTATTCAAACTTCCCAATAGGAAACATAGCATTCCATAGTTACCAAAATATTCAAGGGAGAGAAGGATAAGAAATAATTGGACTGGGAAAGGACTTTAGCCAAAAAGACATTTAAATAAATAGCTCACGACTCATAGCTGAGGAAGGAGAATTCTAGGAAAAGTATAAACTAACCATGATTACCCAGAGAAGTTAGACAAATTGAAAGAAAACATACAAAGTGGCAAAAGTTATTGGTCAACCAGAGGACTGGGAAAGTTCAAAAACCAAAGGATGATCATAAAAAAGTAGAAAATAAAATGTCAAACTAGCAAGTAAATTATAAAAATGGACAATACGAGCTTCCTTAATTATAAAAGGAAAAAAGCCAAAGGGAACAAACCCTCTAGGAGTACAAGGTTAGGTGAATAATAGGGAAGTGGCAGAGTGAATAAATACTTTGCATCAATCTTCACGGTAGGACATTAATAGCACTCCAAAAATACTAAACCAAGGAATGCAAAGGAGTAAATAAATACAGCCACTATCACTAGAGAAATGTGTGAAAGAAACTAATGGAGGTCAAGTCTGATAAGATACATCCCCTCAGATCCAGAGACTTCAGATTTTAAGTAACAAGAGTGTATGCACTGCAAGTAACCTTCCAAGAATCTTCAGAAAGTTCTACAGGACTACAAATATGCCAATGCAACATCTTTATTTTGAAAAAGACAGTAGGAAAAAAGATAACTATAGGTCAGTTAGATTAACATCTGTATTGAGGAAATGTTAACGTCCAAAGAATAACAGTAGAGCACTTCGAAATACATGATCAAGTTGAGTCAACATGGCATCATGAAGAGGAAAATTAAGCCTGACAAGTTAACTAGACTGAGGATAGGTAGATGGGGAAAGCAGTGGATGCAATAGATTTGCATTTTCAGGTGTTTAAAAAGTAGTCTAGTGTATGGTATCTTGAGGTTACCTCCCACACTATGGGCTCAGTCTATTAGCATGACTAGAAGATTAGCTAGTTAATAGTTGACAGTTGGCAATAAGGGGGCATTTTCAGACTGGCTAACTAATTGAGTGCCGGGCTGTAATTATTTACAACGCATTTTGATTTGGGTAAGTAAATGTACTGCAGCTAAGATTGTGGATGGCAACAGATGGTAAGACAAGTGGTGAGGATAACAGCCTGTAGAGGGATATGGATAGTTAGGTGAGTGGGTTAAAAAGCTTGGCAAATGAATATGAAATCTGAGAAGTTAGGTACTTTGACTGCAAGAGAATATTACTTAAGTGAAGACTGCAGAAAGCTACAGAAGAGGGATTTAGGAGTCCTTTTCCATGAATCACAAAAAGCTAGCATTCAAGTTCACTAGTTATTAGGAAAGGTAAACAGAATAATGTTTGCCTTTATTTTAAATGGAATGGAAAATAAAAGTAGGTGGCTTTGCTAAAACTATACAAGGTACTAGTCAGATCACAGCTAGAATATATAGAGTTTAGACCCCTTTCTACAACATTGGAGTCAGTTCAGAAGGTTTGATACCAAGTATGGAGGGACTGCTATAAAGGACAGGTTATGTAGATTGGGCCTTTACTGGTTGGGACAGAATGAGGTGACCTTATTGTAGTACACAAGATTATTTGAGGATTTAACAGGGTAGATGTGAAAAAGTTCTCCCCTGCCACCACCACCCACTCATGGAGAATCTAGGGCCAGAGGATAAAGTAATTTCAGACAGATGAGGAATTTCTTGAAGGTTGAGAGTCTGCAGAGGTCTGTCAAGGCAGTGTTAAAGTGTATTCAAAGCTGAGACTGAAAACCTCAGTAAGAGAATCATGGGTTTATGGGGAAAGGGAGTCAAAGATTCAGATCAGTCAATCTCATTGAATGAGATAACAGACTTGATGGGCTGAATGAAATGTAAAAGTAAACCAGTCTTATGGAAAAGGACTGGGCTTTATTTAAAAAAAAAGTATATGCCTATGCCTTTATGGCAAAAGTGTACTGTGACTTGTCTAGAACAACAGTAAAATAAATTCCCTTTAGATAGGTAATGATTCAGCTCGAGTGAACATTACAACTTTAAATTGCAAAGTCTGAATTCAGTTAAAGTAGTGGAACAGACTCAATTTCTGTAGAACTTACATTCCATGTAGGTGTGTAAGGCAGTCAACATCTGTCCATCTGGTGCTACATATGCTGAGTAGGTCATTTCATCCAGCAGTTGGGGAGACACTCTCTCCTGTTGTGCTGTCACTGGGGTAGATGACAGGTGGTTTGGACTCACATGCTTCTTATGACGTGCTCTACAGTTCTGAAACCAAACCTGTAAATAATATGCCAATTTACAATTACAGCACAAAACATGAGATGCCCAGAGTCATTTTTAGGATTGGCTTGAATTCAAAGAAAACTGCTAAATACCTTGTCATTTTTCAGAAATTATCTGCTAGAGTTGTGCAGTGGTCACTCATCACTAAGCCTTGGATAGATAGGTTTGTACCAATGTAAAGTTTAGATGATTGTTCCCTTCAGTTGTTTCTCTCCCCATCTCTCTTCAGATGGGCTTGAGCATTCATCAAGCAATCACCCAGAGTACATTCAGTGCATGTGCCACCCTCAAAATTTCTAAGTGATGTGCAACACAGGGCACTGGTGGTAAAAGGAAAGAGCCGATTTCTTCAGCTGACTGGTTGTAGGTGGTCAACAGCAGGTCTTATGACCAGATACCATTAGAACCTTCATGGGCTCTGCAGTCAATGTTGAAGACTCCCAGGGACACTTCCTTCACGTGCCAGAGGGAGAAGATATACTACAGAATAGTAAACCGGAGAGCCGAGAACAGTCTGCCATAGGGCATCCTGTTACTCAATGCTCAAATTATGGGACAAATTTGTTCCCAAGTGTTAGTAAAGGAGTCTTTGCACATTTGACTGGACAGGATGTAGTCATTTCCAGTGCCTAGTTTGTCTCACACAATCCAGTTTTTTAAGCATTTAATTTTTCCTTTTACCATTTGATACAATTGGTGACTATAAGCCATTTCAAACAATAGTTCGAAAGCCAAACTTATTAGTCTGAAATCACTCCTCAATAATAGACAGAGCAAAGCTCCTTAGTGTTACAAAGTGTCTCCCAAATCCTCGATATACATTATTCTCATGTTAATGCCACATCCTGGTTCTTATCACCTACAAATTTATTTCCCCACAGCATTAGTAAACTATCCATGGAGGACACTGGTGCAAATGGAGAACCCCCCCTCCCCCCCACCTGGCCTATATAGTTCCTATCTCTAGAACCAGTCCTAGGAATTAAAAGACCCTTCCCCCACCTGCATTACTCCAGACATTCTCTAGTTGTGCCTGCTTGCCTTATCCTCTAACTACCTGCTTAAAAATTTATTGTGGGTAAAAAAGGTACAGATGGCAAACAAAAGGTTACTTTGCAATAATGAGTAAATGGATTTTAGCAGTGAAGTTTCATGGACTTGAGAAATTTCTTCCATGATGCTTCAGAGCAGCCATTAAACAATAAATGAGGAGACAGCAAGAACTGTAGATGCTGGAGGAACACAGCAGGTCAGGCATCAGAGGAGCAGGAAAGTAGATGTTTTGGGTTGGGGACCCTTCATCAGGATTGATGAAGGGTCCTGTCCTGAAAAGGTCAGCTTTTATGCTCCTCTAATGCTGCCAACTTGCTGTGTTCCTCCAGCTCCATACTATTGATTCAGAATTAAACAAAAATGCTGGAGTCAAGGATTTTTTGTTAGGCTGAACCCCAATGCTTAGTCAAATAGATAGGCTAAAAGAACATGAGGTGGAAAGGTTTAGGAGAGGGTATTCCAGAAGTTAAACCTAGGCAGCTATTGGTACTGCTGCCTAAAAATGAAGGAAGGGATGCAAGAAACCAAAATTGGAGTGCAGACTGGAAAAGGGTATGAACATCAGTGGTGTCAGACAAGGTGGGAGTGGTGCTGATACCACAAATGCACTCAGTGAAGGACAAGAATTTTAAAAAAGGTGTTGACAGATCAAGTGCCAATGCAGGTCAAAAAGCAGTGTGCAAATAAACACGAGCTACAAACTAAAAATACTAGTATGAAACAGGAAAAAAAAATACAGCTTCCATCAGCCTCAAATAATGACAGGATCTAGTACTTGAGTGATTCAGGCAACTTTAAAAATGCAAACTCAATGTCTGCAGACGGTAGGCAAGTCACTTGTTAGTTAAAACTAATGCTAGGCTTAATATGTGCACAATAGACATGTTAAAAACATGGCTTCATATGACTACAAGGCAAAGAAAAACAAGGTTTAAGAACAATGACCAAAACATTGGTAACAGGCAGGGTTTTTTTTTAAAAAGTTAAGTGCCTGACAACCTCAACATCTGAAAGCATTAAGCAAGCTCCCACAAGCATGATAAACAGATTTTTTTTTTTTTTTTTTAAAAATTTGACTAGAAAGGATGCATATTACTGAAGGGAGGATTCAGCACCTCAATACAAGAGATCTTTTACATCCATCAGCATGAGCACGAGAGGCTCAGTTTAAAAAGTTCACCCATTGGATGGGACAATCAAATTAGTTGGTTGAGGGATACTGACCATGATATTAATGGGAACTTTACTGCTCTTTAAAAGTAAAGACCATGGGATATAATAGAATCCCTAAGTGCAGGGAGAGGCTATCCAAGAGCTGTGTCAGTGTCAACACCCTCTCTCTGAAGAGTATCTGCCCTATCCTCCACATTTACCATAGTTAACCCACCTAACTTGCACACTACAGGGCAATTTAGCACAGCCAATCAACAAAACCCACACATCTGTGAACTGTGGGAGGAAATCCGTGCAGACAAGGGGAGAATATGTAAATGGCACAGAGAAGGCTGGAACATAAACCAGGTCCCTGGTACCAAAGCAGCAGTGCTAACCATCATGCCACCCTCAACCTTTTACATTCACCTGAGGGGAGAAATGTTGAACCAATACACCATCTGAAAAATGACACTTTTTGCAGCAGGCTGGATGGTGTGCTGAAGATCCCAAAAAGAAACAAATATCAAAGCTTGCTAAACTCAGGCCAGTGCTCCCAGAGCTGGCACCACTGAAGTGTTTTGATGAAATTTGAAGAATTCACTAAAGCGAAATTCCAGGGAAAGCCAGGAACTCAAGTAGGTTAAAATTAGTATCTAACCATGGACCCTTAACATTCATTCTGTTGCCGAATACAATACTAAACACTGGGGAGGAATTATTGACAAGAAACAAAACTGAACTAACCATAAAAAGTTTAGGAATCCTGCAAATAATTCCCCTCCCAGTTTGTTAAAGCCTTTTCACCATCTACAAAGTAGAAGTCAGGAGTGTGATGGAATACTTATTTGGAGTTGTACCCATCCAGTCAACACTCAAAGCTTGACATCATCTAGGACAGAGCAGCCCACTTAATTGGCATCAGATCCATAAGCATCCACTCCCTCCACCAATGCTCAGTTCACACTGCTGCTACTATAATCTACAAGATGCACTGAAGAAATTTAAAGATCCTCAAACAGCACCTTACAAACCCATGCCAATTCCGTTTTTTTTGGTGTGGGGGGGGGGTGCGGGTGCAAGGGCAGCAGATACAAGGCCACACCACCACCTGTCGGCTCCCCTCCAAGCCACTTATCATCCTGAAATACAAGTGTCACTGGACAAAACTACTGGAATTCCCTGCCTAATGGATTTGTAGAGGTTACATTCCCAAAATAGATTACTGCAATTCAAGCTCACCACAGGGAGAAACTAGAGAAGTGCAATAAAAATGTGGGTCCAGCCAGGGACACCCACATATTGATTAAAACTGATCATGCACAATTTAACTGAAAATTAAGCTTTGAAAAATAGTCTCACCTGTATAACACGTCTGCTTAAACCAGTTCTGTCTGCAAGTTTCTGCAGTGTTTGTGCATCTGGATTGTTGTCTTGTGAAAACTGAGCTTGCATTATCTGCAAAGCACAATGAACTGTAAATCACTGAACTTTTTTTTTTAAAGTAATTAGCTGCCAATTTTAATGGATTCGGAATATAGCAAATAGAAGATGCTAGAAATCTGTAATAACGAAGTTTTGAAAACTCATGTTGGGCAGCATCTGTGGAGTCACTGAATGTTTCAGGTTGATTGTCACCGGAACTGGGAAAAGCCAGAGATTGATGACACATTTAAAACTAGTCCCCACAAACATTTCACAATAAGTGAAAAATCCATCAAGTTGTCAACTCTACTTCTCTCTCCATCCATGCTGCCAGACCTACTGAACTTTTCCAAAATAACAGCAGGAAAAGCAGCCTTCAGTCCAAGAAAAACCTGCCCTTCTAGAATAATACCAATATTATATTTTTCTTTCAACTTCAGGCAAGGATTTTTTTTTTTTTTTTTTTAAAAACCCAATCAGCAAGTGTGCTTTTTCTTAGCCAGCCCATTTATAAAGCACTGGTCATAAACTATTAGAGTGTATTTCACTGCCAATGACATACTTTCCTAGTGTATCATCAGATATACCACAGGACATGTAGCCAATCTGCATATAACCTCCCACAAAACAGTCAAGAAAGTACCAGATAATCAGATCTAAGTTTTGCTTCCAAAAGATGAATATTGGCCGTAGGTCAGAGGACAACTCGTCAAAAAGAGTTCTTGTAGAATCCTTACAGCTGTCCAAGATAAGATCAGCCATATTCATACTGATTGGTGGTGGAGTGGGGAGGGGGTCATTGAACATTGAATGGGGCTGAATAGCCTACTCCTCCCAGTTTCGTTCGGAAGACAAAAAGAGAAAAAAGTGTAAATTGATGTCAATAACTGACTGAAGCTATTAATTTGCCACTAAAAGCCCATTTGATTCACCAATTTTAAGGGAAGGAGATCTTCAGGATTTACCTGGTTTGAACAACAGGCAATAACCATGGTCCCACACCAACTGCATAGATCCTTAACTGTTCTCTGAAATGGTCTAGCAAGTCACTGAGTGCTAACTCATGATTTACTCAGGGGAAGCAAATTTGTGTCCAGCTGGAGATAACCATATTCCATCAATGAAATTTAAAATTAAGGGCTCCAAGGATTAACAAGGAAATCAGAAAAGACCTAGCATTCAATGCTTTAAGGTCTTTTTAAAATAGGCTTCAGATGGCAGAATTCCAGAACTTGGGTCCCACATACTCGAGACACATTTATTAAAAAGGTTAGAGCTTGCACTGAAGGATTGGCAGTGTGCTGCACAATTTGAAGAGGTCTCAAATTCTGAGTTAGCTCATGATGGTTCTTCCTACTCCAGTTCCTTATTGTGCCATATAATATCTTTCCACTTATGCCCAGATAGGAGTATCTAAAATTAAATGCCATATATTGTTTGGTGGTGGAAGTACAGAGCTTGTCAAAGATTTCCATGCTTTCAAGACAATTTGCAATATCACCATTAGCAAGGAAGGGAGGGATCTGTTCTGGTGGTATAGGCCCCACCTGAATCAAGCTGGGACCAGAGTAGCTAGGGTAGACTAGGGCTATGGATAGCTCTTGAAAGGCTTGGAGTGGAGGGGGTGGATTTGGTTGTATGGAAAATTAAAAGGGGAAGGGCTCAGGAGATGTTTTAATGTTTCCAGAACAAGTAATAGGCCAGGGTATGGAAAGGGTCAGGAATCTAACTTCAGTTGTTTTCTTGTGTGTGCCTACGAGAAGTGGGGTAGTCATAGGACTGAGGGAATTGTCCTTAAAATGCACATAGTATATGAAACAAGGCACGTAAGCTTGTAGCACAGATCAAAATTGGCAGATATGATGTTGTGGTAATCAGATGTGGCTGCAAGGGGAAATCAGGGCTGGGAACTAAATGTCCAAGGATATACTTCCTACAGAAAGGACAGGCAGATGGGGACAAGGTTTGCCTTGTTAGTAAGCAGTAAAATTTAAATCAAGAGCCAGTAGTGATATGGGTCAGAAGGCATAGAACCTGCAAGCAGTGAGGAACAGCAAATTAAAAAACCTGATGGGAGTTGCATACAGGCCTCCTAGCTATAATCAGGATATAGGGAAGAAAAATCACAAGGTAGTGCTTTTCTTATAAAAATAATCACAGGGGACATCAATATGCAGGTGGACTGGGAACAATCAGGGTGGCAATGGATCCCATAAAAAGAAATTCAATGTCTACATGATGGTTTTTTGGAGTAGTTGTGCCAGAGCTTACTAGGGAACAGTCAGTACTAGATTTGGTGATGTGTAATGAGGCAGGCTTGATTAGGGAGCTTAAGGTGAAGAAACCCCTAGAGAGCAGTGACCACAATGAAATGCACCCTGCATTTTGAGATACAGAAGCCGAAAGCAGATGTAACAGGATTACAATAAAAAGGTAACTGTAAAGACTTGAGGGAGGAGCAGGCCAGAGTTGATTGGAAGGGTAGCCTAGGAGGGAAGGAAAGCAGCAATGGCAGAAGTTTTGAGTAATGTGGGAGACACAGCAGAAATTCATCAAGGAAGAAACACACTAAAGGGAGGATGAAGCAACCATGGCTGACAAGGGAAAGGCAGGGACAGTATAAAAGCCAAAGAAAAAAAAGCATCAGTATGGTGAAGATTAATAGGAAGCCACAGAATTGGGGAGTGTTAAAACCAGAGGACAACTAAAAAAAAAACAAGGCGAGATGAAATGAGGGTGTTAGCTAGTCAGATTGCAAGAGTTTTTATAAATCAAAAAAAAAAAAAAAAAAATCCAAGTGGGCAGACTGCTGGAAAATGAGGCTGGAGAAGTAGGAAGACACTAGCAGCATACAGAGCTTCAAGAGAATCAGGACACAGGTGAGTTTAGTGGCCATCACTGGAGATGCTCAGGAAGCTGAAAAGGTCTAAAGGTGGGTAAAATCACTTGGACTGGATGGAAAACACCCAAGAGTTCAAGGAGATTGAGGCATTAGCAAGATTTTCAGGAATCACAGGAATCAGGGAGGGTCCCATAGGACTAGAAAATGTATAATCTATCACTCTTTAAAATGGAGGAGGCAGAAGACAGGAAACTTTATTTGTTGCTAAGATTTCAAAGTCAATGATTCAGAACAAGATTGCAGAATGCTCAGAAGTGCACGGTAAAATAGTCAACATGACTTCAAGGGGAGGTCATGCCCAAAATATCTTTAAATTCTGAAGTAATGAGCAAATTAGACAAAGGAGAGCCAGTAGCCATGATATATTTGTATTTCCACAAGTCCTTTGACAAGGTGCCACATAGGAGGCTGCTAAATAGGATAACAGCCCATGGTGTTAGGAGCCAAGGTACTGCCAGAGAGGATCGGCTGACTGGCAGAAGGCAGAGCAAGGACAAAGGTGTCTTTTTCAGGATGGCAGCCAATGACTAATGGAGTTTCACACAGGTCAGTGTTGGGATACAGCTATTCACATTATACATTATTGGTCTGGATGGAGGAATGGAGAACCTATTGTTAAGTGTGCAGATGACACAAAGATGGTGGAGAGACAGGTAGTGCTGGGGAAGCAGGGAGGCTGCAGAAGGACTTGAACAGGTTAGGAGAGGAGTGGGGTCAAAGAAGTGGCAGATAGAAGATAATGTGGGAAATTGTGAAGTTAGGTACTTTAGTAGGAACAATAGATGCATAGGCTAGTTTGTAAAAAAAAAGGGAAGAGCTCCAGAAATCTGAAGTACAAATAAGTACTGTGTTGTTCAGGATTCTCAAGGTTAAGATGTAGCTTCAGTTGGCAGTTAGGAAGGCAAATGCAGAGTTAACATTCATTTCAAGGGGGCTATGAACAGTTTTGAATCCCATATTTAAAAGCAGTATGTGCTGACATTGGAGGGGGTCCAGGAGGTTTACAAGAATGATCCCATGTGTCATGATGAGCAGTTGAGGATTCTGCACCTGTACTCACTGGCAGTTAGAAGGATGGGGACCTCACTAAGCCTCTTAGTATTCCAAGTTTCAGAGTGTATGTGGAGATGTTTTAAAGCTCACCATGTTCTTAAGTTCAATAAATGGTGGCCTGGCCTGTGAGACTCATATCCCATAAGTGATTGCGTTTGTAACAGCACATGGCTATTAGAGCTGCTAGATCAAAGTCAACAGCAGTTTAGATGGCAAGTGTTGCCTTCAGTGACATAACTAAAGAGGAAGTAGTTAAATCTATTTTCCCTGTTGGCCTATTTCAAATTCAACCCAAAAACACTGCCTGGCGTACAATCCTCAATAAAATTAAATGTTTGTTACTGCTTTCCATCCTTCACTAATTTTCCCTATATCCCTGAAAATCAAAGTAGTCAGTCATTCCACTGCATCTTGACCAAGTTATTAAAATTCAATTGGATAGGATGTACTGCCTTCCCTTTCCCCTGCCACCCAATTTAAACACTGCCATTACACTCAAGAAACAAAGCCTCAACTGCACCACTTTCCTATTGGCCTTTTGTTGCTTCTAGGCATCTCAGTTTGCTCATATTTTTCTTTATAATGTCCTTTTCCCTTTTGCTTGAAAATGGTAGCTGTAACTCAGTGGATAATATCCCACACAAGCCAGGAAGTAGTGGGTTCAACTACTACTCCAGGGACTAAGCATGGTATCAACAAGACAAATCCAATAGTGAAAGGTTTCCCTCCAGTGTACATGTTAAAAACAGTGGTCCCATATCCTCTCAGGAGAGAGCAAAAGTTGCCATGGCACAAAATTGAAGAGTAGAGTAGTTTCCAGTGTCATAGCCTATCTTCACCTTTCACCCTATGATATTCAAAACATAGCCAACTGAAGCAAGAGGAGTACATTCAATCCTAAGCCTACTGTTCTACTTCAATATGAACACAGCTGATCATTCTGCTCCATACACCTGCTGCTTTCTCTTCATACCCTTTGGTCCCTTCAGTCCTCAGAAGCACATCTAACTTTCTTGAACGAGATTTTGGCCTCAACTGCTTCATGGTAGAGAAATCCACAGGCTAACCATACTCGGTGAAGAATATCTCCTCAGTCCCAAATGGCCTATCCTGCATCATAGAATGCAACTTCATCCTGGACTTCATCATCAGGAACATCCTTCCCTGCATTTACCCAGATAAAGGAGGCTAAAAACTACACAATACCCTGTATAGTTGCAGCAAGACATCCCTGCTCCTACGAATCCTCATTATGAAATCCAACATACCACTTCCCTTCACCTGCTGCATCTGCATGCCTACTTTCAGTGACCAGCATACTAAGGATACCTCAGTATCATTACTTGCTGTAGCTTGGAAGCATCTTTTATTTTCAAAGGAGATAGAGAGAGAGTTTGCAATTGAAATATAGTACTAAAGTGTAAATTAACTAACTGCACAAAAGAATGACTGAAAACAAAAAAAGTAACAATTTGGAGCTTTTGGCAGCATTGTCAGAAATTGTCTGTTCAACTAGATTGCAGAGATAGCAAGAACTGCAGAGGCTGGAATCAGAATCAATTAAGTGTGGAGCTGGAGGAACACAGCAGCTCAGGCAGTAGAGGAGCAGGAGAGTTTACTTTTTCTCAGAACTGCAGAAGGACACCAGACCCAAAACATCTATTCACAGATTCTGCCAGATCTGCTGAGCTTTTCAAGCAACTTGTTTGTTTTGGACAGAGTACAACTTTGTTTTCAAAAGAAGTCCCTCATCTAGTCCTGAAGGCCTCTTCCTGTGTTGCAAGAAACAAAAAAAAAAAAGGGAGAAATGGAATATTTATTACCTGAAGCTGATCAGCTGTGAAGCTGGTCCGTGCTCGTTTTGTTGGTTTGGGTTGAATGACATCTTGCTCAGTTGGTAATGCTCCTTCCATGGTCACTCCATTCCCTATAAGAATACAATTGCAATTGCAATCACAAACAACAGTGCATGGGAGAAATGACCAGTGCAAGACAGCCACTTCCCTCCCCACACCAAATTCTCCCAGGTCAAACAATCTGAGCCACAAGTTCCTTTCAAATGAATTGTTCACATAGCAATTACACCCTGGCATCTCAGATCCCATTCTCTCCCCATAGTTTACTTCTGCTGCCTTTCTTCATTTATTTCAGTGCAGGCAGATTTCAGTACATGGCCCCTTTCTCTGCCAGAGAAAATTTATGAGAAAGTCCTGTGTGGAAACTTGCAGGCTCCTGTGCTGTCAAGGACCCACACTGCTTAGTCTCCACTCTGTGGGAGCAAGCCTCCAGCTCTTTCAAACCCAAAAATCAAAAATATATTGCTAAATTTCAGCTCGTAAAAGGCCACATTGTGATGATACAACTGCTCAGTTCTCAATTCCCTCTACCTCTGCTTAGTGTCTGCTGCACAAAAATCCTTTAATATTGGCATAACATTGCATCCAAATTGCTGCAGGAAAGGAAGTCACACTGTAATTTGATCATAAACCAAATCACAAAAAAAAAGGGCTGTTAAAAACTTTCAAACATGCTTGCATTCACATTACAAGCCATAAGGTTCCATGCTCTACCTGGAGGAGAGAATGAAGTTTATTAAACTGCAGTAAGATTTTTTTTGCTACAAAATACAGGATAACTGTCTAGAAGTTACTGGGTTTCAATTTAAGTTGATGAATTTCATAGATACTCCATGGGAATTTTTAGTATTCAAGATTTGCATCACAGCATACATTAGTTAATGAGAACCAACTTCTCTTATTTCACTTTTAGTCCAAAGGAAAGAAAGTGATTGTTGACAGCATCATGAACAATTAGAAAGAACACAGCTGCTTTTGTATTATCCTGATAAATTTATCAGGAGAGACCATTTTGAACAGAATCAAGTACTTATGTTAAACCTTCTCCCTTAACCATGCAAAATATACAAGTTTGGAGCAGAAGTAGACTATTTAGCCTTTTAGCCAGCTCGACCAGAAGATCATTGTCTAGACCAATAACTTTGGTTCTTGTGCCCAAATTCAATACTGAACCTGCTTCCACCTCTACCAGGAGTCTCAATCCTCAAAATCACATTTGCCCTGAAAGGGTGGCCCATAGTTCTGGACTCAATTGCTCTTCCACCTCAACTTTGTCCAAGGCCATTGACAATTGGATTATGCTTCTGTCAAGTCACCCCATCACTAAACTCCAATAGAAATAATCACAGCCTCACCACCTTATCCTCGAAACAACCTGCTCATTTCAGGTATCTCTAGTATACCTCCTCAACCAATGTCTATACATCCTTGAACACTGTAGTTTGGTCATATTGAGATATGGCCTTACTGATGCCCTGTATAGCTAAGGCATAACATTCTTTTATGTTCATTCCTTTTGCAATAAAAGAGTACATCCCAACAATATTGATTACATGATATACCAACATAAACTACTCACACGAGTACATAAATCCCTTTGAGCTCTTCAGTAATTGTCAAAAATATTTCATTCTTCCAGCAAAAGTGAAGAATTTAGCCATTCACTATTTGCCAGGTTTTTGCTTGCTCATTTCATTCAATCCTTTACAAACTTCACAAAGGAAACATGCTACTCCTTTAAAAGGAAGAACTAAAATAAAGAGAAATTCCCAATTACAGCTTCAGAAGCTCAATATATTTTGTAAATCTTAGTCAAAAAGTAGAACTTAGAAAATATGCATACAGTCTACCCATTGTGCTCCCCCCAGCCCCATTATGACCCTTGATGAGATCTGACTTTAATCAGAATGAAATATGGTTTGATGGATCATTAAATATTTAGCTGTTATTTACTGCAATGAGCTCACAAAGCTGCATTTTCTTAAATTCAGTTTACCACAAAAAGGAAAAGCAAACTAAATAGAATGGTATTGAATCTCAATCATTTCCCAAAACCACTCAACAGTAAAATTGAGAAGCTTTTCATAATCAAATCTTCAAATTTGATTTAACTGCTTAACCAGCATTATCCTGTAAACAGTGAAATCTTATGAATACAAAAAACTGAAAGCTTAGTGTATTTAGAAAACAGATCAGATAACACTCCTGTTCTGGAAGTTTCTCAAACTAAAAAATAACTTTTAAATGAGCTTTCCCCAACTGTCCTCAGAGTCAGAGCCATACAGCACAGAAACAGACCCTGCAGTCCAATCCGAACATAATCCCAAAGTAAACTAGTCCCACCTGCCTGCTCCTAGCCCATATCTCTCAACCTTTCACGTAGGTATTCAAATATATTTTAAACATTGTAATTGTACCCACATCCACCACTTCCTCAGGAAGTTCATTCCACGCACAAGCCACCCTCTAAAAAATTTATCCCTCATGCCTTCTTTTAAAATTCTCTTTCCCCACTTTAAAAATTTGCCCCTAGTCTTAATCTCCCATCGGGGGTGGGGAGGAGTCAGCCACCATTAGCTATCCGTACCTCATTTTATAAACTTCTATCAGGTCACCTCTCAATCTCCTATACATCTTTCTAGACAAGAATCTATTGTTGCTTCTGACCCAGTCCAAAGTTGCCTTAAGTTACAAGTCCCAGTTTTGAGCTTAAAAAAGATCAATCCCTTAGTTACTTTAAACCAAACGCAAGCTAATGCTGTTCAATGTTCAGACCCTGTCATAAAAGCCACAGCATCAAATCTTCCATCATCACTCCAGGAAGATTGCAGTCACATGTTTGACTTCTAAAAAAAAATTGCTCTGCATAATCGTAAATTGCAAGTTGCATGTGTTAGTTAAGTGCTTGACATTAGCTTCTGAGAGTTCTGAGTTAAGCAAGTGGCATGTGGGTTTAATCTGAAGGGGGATTTGATCAAGTATTTCTGTAGCTATGTGGATTCCTGGTGCATAGTAAAAGATTTGTTTTCAGGAAGTTTAAGAGTGAACAAAGTAAGCAGTGCATTAAGACGGTCAGATTGACTTTGAAAAGGGGGGAAAAACACCCATAGCTCAGGAAAAAAAGGTTTGGGGTTCAGTCTGGCAATTTTGCCAAAATCTTGGCTGAAGCTAGATGTGTAAAAGTTGCCCTGAGAGCACGAGCCAGAGCTAGTGGAAGCTGTTTAGTTTGAAAGTTCCAGATGAGTTTTTGGTTACAATTGTGGAATAAATTTGAAGCGGAGAAAGTCTAAGTTTAATTGTGCAAAGGCTCCAGGAAGGGATTAAATCAAAGTGAGGAATTGAAAGCACAAGAGCCTCAGGTGAGCAATCCTAAAAGCTCTCCTTGACAGCAAGAATTTTACAGGATTGTACTTTACTGGGCATGTCCAAATATTTAATCTTGACATGTGCAAGTAGCTTTATTCTTTTTGCATAAAGGTCTTTTGTCCAACTAAATCAGCAACACTGCAAATGTTTCAGTGAAAGACCACCTCATTAAAACCAATAAAGTGATCTACAAAGCAGATTTAAGTCTGGCAACTGAAATGTCTATTATCACCCAAGATCATGACACTAGTTTCAAATCCAAACGCAAGTGATTAACCTCAACTTTCATCACAACTGGATCCATTTATGAAAACACCACTTCCTGTTTTCTACAGGATTTTGAAATGGCTGAGGTGCCTTATATTCCGTTCCAATATTCACTTCATGAAGACCATGTTTTTCCTACCCCCACCCCCTCACCACCCCAGTATTTTTATATTATGGACTGAAGTGGGGAAAAATATAGATTTCTGCATTTTGAAAGCAATAACTGGCTACTCATTTTAAATAGTGTACACAGCTGCTGGTTCAAGCACAAGCAGAAAAAAAAAGTTCCCAGCGATCTGGAGCAAAAGGCATTCTAAGTGGAAATTCAGCCAGAGAGCTGATTGACTACTGGTTACTAACCAACAGACCAATGACAAAGGCCTTCCCACCTAGCAACAACCTTGGCTCTCAAGTAATTCAGCAGCTTGGGGATGTAGCCAAGAGAAGCCAACAGATCTTGGCAAACTCAGGAGCTGACTTGTTGTCTACACAGAAAAGCCACTTAAATAGAAGCAAACCAGTTTTGTTTTCCTTTCAGCAGTTGCTCCAAACTGACTTAAGTGAATGAGCTGGAGACATTTTATAAGTGAACCATCTACACTGAGCCTCCTGAAAACCAGTGGAAGCATCTAGAGGAAAGTTGAGAAAGCATAACAATCTCAGCAAATTCTGAGACCAACAAACTGCTTTCCTGGTCTTTATCCATAACACTCATGCTTTTTCTTCTCTAACCCCCTCAAACTACCCCTTAAAATTTTTAATCTGTAAAGTTGTGATTGTTCATAATGTTTCTATAAGTTAGAGAATCTATATTTGTAGCAATTATTTACTACAGAAACCAATTCCATGCTTTGACGACCTGGGACTAAACAGAAACTGGTGAATTCTGTGGACTTCCCAAAATCTTGGGTGATGACTCCAAGAATTGCAGAGTTTTATTCCCAGTGAGGCATAACTTAAAAGCAATCACGTCACAATTAACATGCAGAGGACAGGATGGGGTGGATGGGGAGGGGGGGGGGGGGGAAGGCGGGTGTGAAATTCCATAACCTTTCAATCTGAAGATTAATACTAGCCACAAGACAATCAATTTAACAAAGGATTAAGAACCTTGTAAAGATGTAAAAACCCATTCCATTAATTTAAAAACTGACAAGTGACAATGCAGAGATAACAAGGTGCAGGGCTGGATGAACACAGCAGGCCAAGCAGCAGAGGAGCAGGAAGGCTGACGTTTTGGGTGACGCTTCTTCTAGACCCTTCATTTTCTGAAGGGTCTAGGCCCGAAACGTCAGCCTTCCTGCTCGGCCTGCTGCGTTCATCCAGCTCTGCACCTTGTTATCTCAGATTCTCCAGCATCTGCAGTTCCTACTACATCAAACAAGTGACAATGCAACATTGTTACAGCTATTATGGAGGATAAGAGATTAACAGTCCATATTTTCTCAACCAATATCTGAAGAGCTTTAGAAATTGATATTATAACAGCTGGTGTTAAGAAGCCTTTTTCATTCAAGACTCAGTAAGTGGTAAATTAACTGCATAAACAAACATTCTTGGCTTAAAATTGAACAAACTTTACTGGATCAGCCACAAAAATACTGCAGTTACAAGCTTATGTCAGAGGCAAGGTATTTTGCAGTGAGCATTCTGATTCTGTCGAGTCTGCCCACTATCTACAAGTAATACCCTTTATTTTCTTGTAGCTCCAGCAGCTGAAACACTATTCAGGACAAAGTCACCCAGTTGATTTGCATCCATTCAGCAAGTGTGTGAAAAGGCTGTGCAACATTCCAAGACTTCAATGCCACCTGAAAACTATGACCATGACCACTTGCTACCATTGCAGCAGACACTATGGTCACTAATGTCCAAATTTCCAATTCTGATGTAACTCAGGTTGGCACAATACCCCTTCCATATGAAAATGGAATTTAGGGAGTAAACCATTAGGCCCTGTGGACCTGTTCTGCCATTCAACTAGGCCATGGTTGATCAATTGTGCATTTTGAATTCCATATTCTCATCTACCCAGATCTTTATATTTCTAACCTGTTCAGAGGTTAACACACTGCAGCAGGTAGGTCTTGAACCTAGCCTCCTAGCTCAGAGGTACATACACTGCCACTGCACCACAAAAGCCCCATACCCAGAGCCTAGTTTCCTTGTTGGAAAAAGAAATTAAAATCGGTCTCATTCTTAAAATCTAAGGATACCACCTCCACCATGAGACGCTGTTCAAAGTAACAATCCTCTAAAGTATACTAATGTTTTAAAAAGGTGCTCCCCCATTCTGGGCTCAGCCATTTGAAGAATCCTTTCTACATCCACTTGGTCAAATTTCATGATTTCGTACACCAGACCAAGTCAACCCTCATTCCAAATGCCAGTGGAAAGTCCAGCTCATTCAACCTTTCCTTGGGATCACTGCTCATTCCAGGTATTAAAGCTAATAAACTGCTTCAGCCATCACCACATGTACATTTATTCTTCAACAAGAAAGCGAGATCAAACAGCAGACAATACTCCAGATGCAATCTCAACATTGCCTGTATAAAACAAAATTGTGCTTCAGTCATGTTCAATTCCTATTATAAATGTTGTTTACTCCATTAGCCTTAGTTATTTACTTCCCAGGCATAAAGTGAGATGGAATATTGTCCACTTGCCTGGATGGGTGCAGCTCCAAAACAAGAAGCTTGATACTATCCAGGACCAAATCAGCCCACTTGATTGGTACCACATCCACAAACATTCACTTCCTCCACCACTGACTGTGCACGCTGCTACTACTACTATCTACGAGATGCACTGCAGAAATTCAAAGATGCTCAGACAGCACCTTCCAAACCCACGATCACTTACATCTAGAAGGACAAGGGCAGCAGATACACAGGAACACCACCCCTTGCAAGTTCCCTTCCAAGCCACTCATGATCCTGACTTGGAAATTGATCACCATTCCTTCAGAATCACGGGGTCAAGACCCTGGAATTCTCTCCCTAACAGGATTGTGGGTCTACCTACAGCATGTGGACTACAGCGGTTCAGGAAGGCAGCTCACCACTACCTTGAAGGTGAAGGAATGATGAACCAGCCAGCAATGCCCATGAGTGAATTAAAGTCAACCTTAAGTTACTCACACACCAAACCAAGACCTCCCTGCATCTTAGGAAGTCTGCTTATTCTCAAGTTAGAGAATTTAAAAATTTGTTCTGTTAAGCTAAATAATTCCACATTTTCCTAATGTATACTTAATTTGCAACCATTCTCCTCCAACTCAAATTTAGCTACAATGCCTTAGTTCCCAACATCCAAATAATTGATGGAAGTTGTAAAATGTTAAGGCCCCTGTAGTAATGCACTCATCAGATGCTGCAAATCTGGGAAAGGTGTGTGGTCCCTGGTGAACAGAAAAACAAACAAATCTAACAATCCTAATGTCATCCACTACACCAGCTCCTACTTGGCACAATCTTGTGACATCTTAAATGGCTTCTGGAAATCCAAGCACAATACATTGATTTCCCTTTTTCTGCAGCACATTACTCCTTCAAAGAAGGAAATTGTGGAAATTAGTTCCCTTGCACAGAAGTGTGCTGACTTTCCAATGAACCCAACTAAACCCTTAAAGAGATAACAAGGTGTCGAGCTGGATGAACACAGCAAGCCAAGCAGCATTAGAGGAGCAGGAAGGCTGACGTTTTGGGTCTAGA